TTCGCCATCTGTATGCCGGAAATGTTCGCAGGAAGTTTACGAAGCAGAAAAAGTTTTGGCCGGAGGGATGGTCAGTATGTGACAATTGACCGTCGCACTGGTCAACTGAATTTTTCATAAAACCACAAGGACTTCAGATTTTTTCATAATAGTGGCTTATCTCCAAACCATGTAAGAAAAATCCAACAATAACATTTTTAGCAAAAGTGCACATATCAAACTGTGAAACAGTGGATAATGAACGCGTCTTCAGCCTTGGTTTGAGTAGCTTATTTATTTGCACGAAATTATCAGTTAGGCACTGTACCCCTTCGGACACATCAGCAGCCCAGTTGGGCGTAAGTAGAAAAGGCATGAGCAAGAATTAATATCTCCTTTGGCAAAAACTATTGGTAAATTTTCGTTATTAAAAAAGCAGGTATTTGTGCACATTTATCAATTTAACTTCATTCCCGTTGGACCAATAGTGTCTGTTTGTTTTGAAAGATACTGAAAATATATTTGCCAATGTGCCCACTCATAAAATGCTGCGAATTCCCTAGACTACAGATTTTTTCAAAAAATCCCTCACTCTTAAAGAAAATATGCCACAGAAAATAAGCTCCTGTTTTTCAGCGTAAACTATTCTCAAGACTTATTTACTGATTCTTTATGTTTATCAAAGTTAGCGAGCTGAAATACATGCTCAGGACAAGCACAGACAGCAGCCGAAGATCAAAATTTGAGTGATTTTATGATGTCTTGCTCATCAACCTATCAGCTGTAATGCGAGTAGCATGCAGACTATGCCTCGAAGGTATCAGCTAACTGAAATGTTTTTAGGCTTGGCATCGACACAAGTGTTTCGTGTGCAGCGCTTGCAACAGATTGCTGGAATCCCGAACCGTTTGTGTCCGTAGTGGCTTTTTGTACTGTAACTGTAAGTTCTGTTACATTAAAAAAAGGTTTTTGGAATACACTTTTTTGCCTGGAGCTTCTCGAGTATTGGAGTAATAATTAATTTGGAATATAAACGAACGAAAGAGTATGAGATTCACTGCTTGATATTTTACTTGCAGCATGTTATGCCAAGGAGTTCGGACCACGTGGATATGGGCATGGTGTTGGTTCCGAGAATTTACGAGCATACGAATAACTGAAGAAGTTGTGACCATCGGCCATCTTCATCAAATTGTCTTTTCATTTTGGCGGAAAATAGAAAATCAGCTGGACTGAAATTCGAATTTTTTTTCTACAGTTCGATTAAGGCGAACAGCATGAACCGAACAATGTTTACAAAGATATTAGACAGCCACATTCCTGCTTGAGACAAAACAAATTTAGGCTGCACTAAAATATGTCATTTTGTAGGGAAAAAATCAAATCCTTTCTATAACTTAGAGTCTGTGAGAGGCAAAGGTACTCCGAATTAGTTCGAGTGACAGCTACTCATCATGATAAGTCTGCCGACAGCTTCCTCCGCCAGGGGACTGCTTATAAACAAGCTGGTGACGATTTTTATCCCTTGGCATTCGTCATACCAATTTATTATCGAACGAATGAACAAAACGTAAAGGGGCTAGTTTATCAAGTGATTGCATCAAATTGTGAACCTTTGGAATGCGAGTAGTGCTGCTTTCCACTGCACCACATCTGCCGAGTTAAAAAACAGTGATAGCTAAAAGTTTCACCTATTGAAAAATGATATAATGCTTTTATATCTCAACCAGCAGAGTTTCGACATAATTTCAATGCAGTTCATTTCATGGCTGCAAACTTCTCGCTGCCTAAACACGAGTCGCTGCACGTTCACTTTTGTAAGTTTTATTTGAATGGATGACCAACAGTTGAGAAGGATGACCGGAGGATGTATGCCGGAGGAATCGCATTGTGGGACACATAGAATCACGCTATGCCGTTCGTTCTTGAGAAGTGAGATTAATCATGTATCACTAAACAGCTCTGCTCTTTTAAACACTGATGTTTAATTAATGATAATTTCAAAATGAAAATGTTTGTTTTTT